GGAAAAGGAAAAGGAAAAGGAAAAGGAAAAGGAAAAGGAAAAGGAAAAGGAAAAGGAAAAGGAAAAGGAAAAGGAAAAGGAAAAGGAAAAGGAAAGAGACCATTTGTTAGTCCGGGCTGTACAAACCCATGCAAACGCACGTGCTGTGGAGAATTGAAACCAACACTGACCAGATCTATCAACAGCCTCAGGATGTCATGGGGATTGTCCAGCTCCTCAACCTTCCTGCAGTCCCCATCTGACAAGAGCAGGCCGGACAGCTTCTGCCCCAGATTGCTCTTGTTCACTTGTGACTTGATGCGCTCTGAGGAAAACAGAAGTACAATAAATGTGGAATGCTTAGGAAGGGAACAATGACTTTGGGATAAAATGCACACGTGTAAATCTGGACCTGAATGATCRCATCAGAAAGGGCAATGCAGGCTGCAGCTTCTCCCACTGCATGGGACACATGCAGGTTCTTGSCAAGCAGYACCMCTCCTGCTATCACACAGACCTTMCACATGGGCAAATTGAAAATAAAAWTCTTTTTCCTYTGTGGGAAACATATTTTTGACACTCTACAAAATAATTCAGGGTATTTGTTTTTGTACAGTGAGTATCCTGAAAAAAAACCAAAGATTCCCTGATACAGGCTATTTAAAAGTTTGCAAATGTAAAATTACATTTTAACGTTCCATCAAAATTATGGAACATATATACCAGGTAACAGAGCCTGAAAGTAATGGTGTCAGTATAGGGAAAAGAGCTAATTAAGGTTATGCTATTGTAGTGCTACATCCCAGAAATGCCCAAGGAATTGGGGAGACACACCAAGCCTGGCAGCTCCTGGTCAATGGCCAAAACAAATACATCTTTCCCTTCCTAAAGTCTGTAGGAGTTTTGACCATGATATAAACACTTAAATACGTCTCTTTATTCCTTCATTTTTTAAAGAATAAATGGATTATTAGAATTATTCCTACTTCACAGATTAGAAATCTTCCTCTATTACAGAGGGCTTTGTAACTCTGTACTAGTATAGACACACTAATGCTGATACACATGCATAATAAAAAGCTAAACTGTTTAAGGAAAACCAGAAAAAAATCTATTTAGTATTCCTGGGAATCACAGAATGGCCTGGAGTAGAAGGGACCTTAAAGCTCAYCTCGTTCCACACCTTCCACTAGACCAGGTTGCTCAATACCCCATTTGAGCAAAAAAAGCTC